CTATATATACATATATATCTATATATACATATATATACATATATATGTATATATATACATATATATACATATAAAACATATACATACAATGTTAGAACATTTTAAGTATACATCATTGAATAATATAATATCGAAATATTAGAACGAAAATTGTCTAACAATAAACATCTAATATCGAGAGATATTTGCTTGAGAGAATACTTGCTTGCAAATTGTCATTTAACAAGAAATATTTACTTGGACGAGCGTGCAACTTTGACGAAGACTAGAACTAGGAACAGCGTGATAAGTGTCGCCAGATTGTTAAGCAAATTGCCTTGCAATTTATGCGCGCCGCGAGATGAAACGACCTGTTTTGCTTCCGAGCCGTGTTGCTATTTGAAAAACGTAACCTTCCTGGTATGCATGGATACCAAAGGCGGTGTTTAAAACCGGCATCGCTTTCCACCGAGAACCACGAAGGCGTGTAGCGCGTTTTTCAATGCAAGAATTTTCTCTTACGTCGGTTCATACGTGGTACATACCGCAACATGCCAAAACAAGGCGTAATTTTATACGTTTCCACGTAACTCGATAGAACATTCGATGGATAATCAAGAGTCTGGAGCGAGTTGTATAGTGTTGATCGATAAAGCGATAAAGTGAAATATTAATTAAATAACGATCTGTTGGTTCTTCGTTAGTAAACAACACCAGATTCATCAAGCTGCAACTTTGAAAATCGATCGACACATTTTCGAGGGGGGGAAAGTTAGTTTCGAGGTGAAAATTATACACATTTGAACTATATGTGGAATTGACGAAAACGAAAGAGAAGAACGAGAAGACATGGATAATTAAAAGCGACGGAATTTCGCAGTTACTGGCGTTCTGAAGTCTGCGCAACTATCGAAAGTGATAGTTGAACACGACAACGCTTCCTGCAAGTCGACGAGCGTGTGCACAGCGGTTTCAACTCGATGGGATCGAGTCCAAGCAAACAGAGTATAATTATCACAACAGAACAGAGGCATAATGTGGTATAATGTAAACAAGTATCCACGATCTTTATAAAACGCTGCATGTAAAAAGCTTGTGGTTTCACGTCGAAACGAATTGATTTCACGTCTCCTGAAAAGCATCGTCGTGTGGCAGAAAAAAAAAAAAAAA